TATATATATATATGCAGCACGGAGCACACTGCCCCAGGCTACATGCTTTAGGGCGATGTGTGACAGGTTGAAGGATTACTGAATATAACAGGTTTCAGGTAATACTAATTCATATTAGTTGATATAAGACAAAAATAACGTAAATATTGTAAGAAAATTGTTAAGAGGTTATTATTTTTCATGTTATATTAATGACTTTCATTTATTACTAGTTGATCACTGATCAGCTAGTAAGCCTTTTCTGGGATCGATTACTAGTGTCTCTATTCTCCACTAGGGGGCTTTCGCACGCTCTCCTCATTGCAATAAACAACTGCATGAGAGAAGCAAGTCAAAATCACTCTCGTGATTCTTTTCCCCTGTTTTCAGGTAAAAGTGTTTAAAAGTTGATATATTTGCTATCTGTAAGATATTTAATAGGTAACCCTTCATCGTTTTGTAAGCTTTAAAAGCATTATAATACAGTTGTTTTGAGCCTCAGTTTTATACTGTATAATGTCCATTAAGCTAACGGCAGGAGCTAGAAATGTTGCTACTGTCAACCACTTTGTCAGGAAACCTGTTCAGGTATATGTATAGTAAGCACTTTATTATTTTGGTTTATTATTTAGCTTTTCCTTCCATCATGTGACATTAAGCAGTACAGAATGTGAAACATTTATGTTCATTTTGATTGCAATAAACGACTGCATGAGGGAAGCAAGTCAAAATCACTCTCGTGATTCTTTTCCCCTGTTTTCAGAGGTGTAACATATGCCTGTAACACTCTGCCTATTGCCTTCAGATTAAATCATTTTAAAAAATATTTCTTCACGTCATTATGCAGGTCGCAAGTAGAGGTGACATGATATGATATGATTAGCGCTGCCATCCCCTCTCTATCGTAATCAGAGCTTTCCTTGTTACTGTACTAAAAAAAGTTATTAACGGCTTTTTTATTCTCCATCTTCTCTTCATCCCACATGTTAGCCAAACCACCGAGGCTGACAAACCACTGAGGCTCTTTTACTTGCTAATGCTGTATTTCTATATGAAGCGCAGATAGTAAGTGACCTCAGAACAGTGAAAGCTCAGTCAGTGGTAGCTCGTGTCACATGCTGGTCTCTCAGTTTATAGTCAAAGGCCAGTGGTTTATCCACAATGCTTACGCACAAACCATCAGAAAAACCTCCTGGCCTCTCATCCTTCCCACTAAAGTAATTGACTGACACACCTTCAAA